TGGTACGAGTGCAGTTGTCTTTCTCCAAAATTTATTTTAAAAAACAGCAAATGATAAGTCGTCGCTGACCAAAACTCGTAAACTTTCAATTTGGCAGACACACTCCAGAAAATTTCATCGTTACTGTATGCACCGCATGCAGGCGCAGGCTGGGGTGGGCCACCTTATATGTACAAATTAGTGGCCCACACTTCCATCAAATTCAGGCCTTTTTCGTAGGAGTAACTTTTTTCAATAAAACCAATGCAGGGAGTGTTAACAATATTGACCACTCCATGATTTTCCCATTTTCCCTCTTGAAATGATGTTGATAAGTTGATGCTATAGTTTTGTCATTTTCTTTCTTCTTTTTTTCGTGCTAAAATTTTGCATTTCATGCCAAAGTGGTTCGTGACGACTCTCTAAAGTGTTCTTGGGCGTTGCTCGTGCCTGTTGCAGAGCCCCGTCGACCTGCTGCCCACCGAGCTGCTGATGCAGGTGTTCCGTCACGTGGACATGCACACCCTGGTGTCCGTGTCGCAGGTGTGCATTCAAATTTTTTTCTGAGAAAAGAAAAATACAGTTTGTGTTTTTTGGACGAAACTGAAATATTTGTAGTCTATTTGAAAAAAAAAACTTTTCAGGAAGAAAAGTTATTTAAAAAAATAATAATCTTGAGAAACTATCCTAAAATACTTGAGCTCTTAACAGAAATCCCTCCCTGCAGGTGTGCCACCGCTTCCGCGACGCGGTGCTGGCGGGCTGCGTGTGGCGGGGGCGGACGCTGTCCTGGGAGCAGCCCGGCGGCACCAAGACGGTCCTGGACATCCTACGCCTGGCGCCGTGCCTCGAGGAGCTCAACCTGCGCTTCGGCCGCTGCTGCCTGGGTCGCTCGCTGCTCAACGGTCGCCTGCGCTGGCTGCGCACGCTCAAGATCTCCGACACGGAGCTGTGCTCGTGCAACATCGCGCGCGTCCTGGAGCGCTTCGGCGCCAGCCTGCAGCACCTCGACCTGCAGGTCAAGATGACGCACATCTCGGAGCACAAGGTGCTGGAGCTGTGGGAGAGCGTGCACCAGATGAAGCAGCTGCGCTCGCTGCGGCTCGCGGGCTACCTGCCGTGCCGGCTGACGTACACCTTCCCGCCGCGCCCGCTCAAGGACCAGACCCTCGTCGCCGTCGACCTGCACGACTTCGAGGCGGACCACTACGTGACCATGCTGTCGCTCGTCTCGGCGCACCACACCACCATCAAGAAGCTGACGCTGCCGGACACGCTGAGCGAGGACGAGGTGCGCCGCGTCCTGGACCAGCTGCGCGTCGTGGAGGACATCGACATGGTGATCGGCGGCCACATCGCGCACCTCAACGGCCTGCCCGTCCGCCGGCTCACGCTGCGCCACAAGAACGAGGCGTCGTCGAGCCGCTTCCTGGAGCACGTGGCCGAGTGCACGGCCCTGGCCTGCGTCGAGGAGCTGTGCCTGTCGTGGTCCGAGGGCGACCTCCGCGACCCCGTGCTCTCCAGCCTGGCGGCGCTGTGCTCCGAGCTCGTCGTACTGCGCCTCCACAACATGTGCGACGACAAGGCGCCGGGCCTCATCGACACCGTCAAGGAGTTCACGCAGATCAGCGAGCTGCACCTCAAGAAGTTCTACCCGATGGACGTGCAGTTCATCGACGAGCTAGCGATGGGCGCGCTCCCCCTGCTGCGCCGCCTCACCCTCCGGGACGTGCTCATCGGTGTGCCGCACGCCAGCTCGGCCATGTGCGCCAGCAGCCCCTGCTACGACCACCACTTCGAGCGGCTCGCCGCGCACCGCCACAACCTCGTCTTCATCTTCCACGACTACCCGGAGTGCTGGCACCGCAAGACCACCATCGAGTACTCGCTCACCTGCTACTGCGACGCCTGCATGAACTTCTACGCGCACATGACCCGCGACTACAACGAGGGCATCGCGCCCACCTTCTGGAAGCCGTGAACACCTCTACACTACACCGCCTTCTCTACGCCGTCCTCTTACCGCGGTACGTTATTTCCATGTTCAGGTCGCGGGAGTTTTCAAATCTAGGAAATCCAGCAAAAACAGAGGCGGATGCAGCCAGCTCCTGTCCGACAATTTCGCAGTAAAACATTAAATTCATTTTAAATAAATATTCACATTAACAACAAAAAATCCGTGATTGGATTCTTAATCTCCTGTAATAATATACTAAGTTGTAAATATCTAAGAGGGACCTTCTAGATTGTCTCTTAGGTGAGGCTATAAAATTCATTATGGTTATCCTGTCATTTTTCGCAGCAATCGCTGCCGTTCTTAGGAACCTCTAAAAGCAACACCACGTGGCCGATCCGCCCCACCCCCTTCTAGTACAGTATAATTACTAATACTAAACTAGTTGTACTAGAAGTAGGCGGGACGAATCGGCCATGCACGGCAGGATCGTATCGCACTTAGCCTACCCTGTCTAATTTTTTGTTTTAAGTTTCATTCAATCGACGCATGCGGGACGCCCAAATTTCTAATTACGTGTGATTGTGCAATTCTAGTAACTTTATTCAGATATGGCCGCGTATGAGGCCTGTTGTGTGGATGTCGTGCGGTCCTCGATGCGGTTGATGTGTCTTTTCGTTTCGTTTTCATCGCCCGAGATCCAACGTATCGGGTTGGGCGGCAAACAAATCAACTAAAAACCTGTAGTTTGTACATAAAGTAGACATTTAAAACAAAATGTAAATAGTGTAGGAGATTTGAACTTAGTGGAGTATTAAAGTCGAGGGGGCAATAACTCCCTTTTGATGTGTACACATTCCCAAAATAATTGATTCCCAGTGATTCACGTCCGCTTATATTTATTCCTTGGGTTTTCTAGTAGTAGAAAATGCTTATTTCGACTAATTTGTACAAGTTCCACTTGTTTCCCGCTTAATTTCTGTTGATTTCGATTAGTTTTTATTCTGATGATTCCCATCCCAGGCAGGTGCGATTCCCGGAGTTCTTGCCCCCTCCCCTCGGTTTACTTACCATAGCACACAAGCTTCGTGTGTATTTAGGGCACGTACACACAAGGAAATGTGTGCTACGGCAAGCACACAGTTTATTTTACATTATTTTACGTATACTTACACTCTTTCTCATGTGAACTAAGTTCACCGTTGTGTGCAGTATAGATTCTCTATTTCTCAAAAAAGTGCTAGTTGGGTCTGACCAAGCGGCCTATATCATCTCACTCCTTTCGATGTTATGTATTGGGTAGGTTTTGCCAATTCTGTATGTTGGCATGGCCGTGAATCTTCAATGTGCCATTCATTATAGTAGTCAGCGTATATTGATTGATGGCTCTATTTTCACTCTCCTCGTTTTCTTATTGAGTTTTTCAACAATGTGTCCTCGTTTACTGATAAAAGCTTTCAGTGATTTCACCGCAACCCAGTGGGCAGAAAAAAGTCAAAGTGATGTCATTTGACGTCAAAGGGATCATTTTGATGTCATTTCAATATCATTTTGATGTCAAAATGATATCAAAATGACATCAAAATGACCCCCTTGACGTCAAATGACATCACTTTGACCTTTTTTCTTCCCACTGGGAAGCTATGGGGTATAAATTTAAATTGTTCTTTGCCGACGTTGCACGGAGAGCCCTCGTCTCGGAGCACAAAAAGGTTGTGAATCAAGTCTTCTGCGGGGGAATCGTGCCCTGTCCCCAGCAGGGAATTATTTTATGTAATATTATGATTGAGGAATAATAAGTTTGTTTTCATGAAGTATCGTCCAGAAAGTACGTAAGTTTTTTTCTGTGTTACGGGAGCTCGGCGCCTGCGAAACTCGAGGTAGGCCAACCCGCAATACACACATGCACTGCAGGCAAGACGTTGTCTATCTGCCAGGCGCTTTGAGAGCTTGCAGGGGCTGAACTTGAAAAGGCTCGTGACGGCTATCAATGACGGACGTACTTTGTGGACGTTCCCTTACTCAGAGATACCAATATGAATATGATTACTTTAGTATACGGAATAGGTATTCTAAGCCACCCTTGCCGCTGAGGTAGGCAACAAGTCGAGGGTTCCAACCCAAGGCCTGCAAAAGGTGACATAAAGTTGAAAACTGTGGTGTTGAACCTTTGACCGCGAACGTTATAATATTAGGATACTGGATATTGTCGATTTCAACCTAATAGGCAAGCTTCGGGACCAGCCCTCTATTCTTGCCTACCTTGGAAAAACGGATGACCTAGAACACCCACCCTGTACATGATGTAAATATGTTTATGAAAGCCCTATCATAAGTTCGCCCAACAAAATTGCACAAAGGAATATTTATTTTTAAATAGGTCACGTATGATATAAAATATCCCCTAATTGTCCGTGTTGTTTTGCTCATATTTTTTTAATGGAGTTCTGGATGTTCTAGACTCTACACGTGACTGCGAAGGGCTCGTGTTCCCGGTAAGATGTGAATCACCACGTAGTGCTCAGGTCCTAACGGTTGCTGATCCTTTTGTTCTATCTTATTTATAGTCACTAGTCCTCTGACCACTTTAAGGCTGATCATTCCTAAATAAGTCATAGACCAGAACATTCATGGGGCTGACCACAGCCCACCCCTCTTTAGCATTACTTAGAATCCTACTTTTACGAGACATTAATTTTTAATTTTAAGTCTTTAATAGAGAAAATATATGCAGACAGGCATACAAACGAAGCCATAGATGTCTATCTCACCTATGACTTTGTTGAAACATTCTGAAACCGAGATTCGTTGGGATGAGGAGACTTAATTCCTTGCCCCGCGGTGCCAATACTGTTAAGATGCGTTGACTCGCAAAAACTTTGCCCGAATTCTTACACTCGAGAAAAGGTTCCCCCCTGTACATATATGCGTCGAGTGTGACATGAGTGATTCACTCGTTTTCCATGACAAGTATTCCCTAAGATGCACTTAGTCGTGCATTTCTTCGATTTCCCTTATTCCATTCGTGTATACACTTGATATTCGTCTTGTTGGAAGATTCTACCCACCATGTAGTACCTCTCTATTTGAAAACTCCCCCAAACTCAATATTGTGTCAAAACTCACCTGCTTCGTATGGCTTCAATTGTGGACTATCATCAAAGAATGTGTTGTATTCTAGTGGAGCACCGCTCTCAACCCCACCTCACACCTCACCAGGGAGTTAACATGAAGCCAGATTGCTAGCCACACAATCTCTGTTTTTGTCGTGTCTTAATTCCTGTGATCTTCCTTTGGATGCGATTTGATTGGAATTGAATTTTTTCCATGTACTATTATCAGCTGCATTAATGCAGCCTATGTACGTTACGAAAAATTATCCTTATGTACATACTCATTTGTACCTCTCTGATGTGTGTGTTTGCTCATGCACTTGTGTGCATCTTAATTTCTTATATCTTACGACGCTGTCGCCTTTTCATAATAATTTCGTTGTTAGTCACCTAGCAGTGATGGGGTATCTTTGGTATAGTGAAAATGGGAGTAAAAAGTTTAATATCTTGACTGTGTTTTAACGAAGACTGTTAAATGGGTAGTGCTTGACTACTTGCTGTGAGGCCTTACCTGTCATTTTATTCGCTAAGGATGATGGAAACCCCAAAGATATGGTTTTATGTTGTCGCTTAAGAAAGTTAATAGCCCTTCTATGAGGCCATATTAGGAACACTGATTAAACAGTCACAAACCTAATGCTTCTACCAATGTTTAATATGTAACCCCATGATTGCTTTTAAAACTATTTATTAGTTGTTTCTCTCGTAAAGATGGCTCGACGCCCAAGTATTTTTATTTACGTTTAGGCCAAAATATTTTGACTGTTTCAAGCATTTATAAGACTTGTTAGTAGTATGCCATAATTTTTTAAACTGAGCCTTACAAGTTGTTCTTAGTTACGGGTTAATACACCCGATGTCTAATTTCCTTTAAGAGCATAAAGGCCTTGTGTATCTGATGTGCACTACACTTGTAGGAATTAAAAAAATAATATAGTATGTATTTATGTACTGTGTATGCCACAGATATTATACAACAATAATTATGTATACGTCTCTTATAGTGTGCGTCTTTCTCGCTCTATATAGAGCTCTATTGTGTCTAGTACAATGAACCATCGTTTGCTAAACCTATGTGATTTTGGCCTCGGCATGAACAAATATTCTTTGCATTTCTCATTATCTCAGAATGCCTGGTTTAACTGCCACATTCTCAAACGCAATTTCAGTCTTAAACAAGCCTTTTCTACAAAAAAACAAAAACCAGTTTTTCTAATGTATGTAGCCTATTCAACCTGTATGTTTTTCTTGAGTAAATGTTACATGTTGCAAAAATATCAAATAACACTATATCTGTGTGAATTACTCTATTCTCTGCACATTATCCTTCAAAAAAATGAAATAAAAAAAATTAAATGTTTTTATAAAAAAAAATGACGTTATTGTTTTAAACCCGTGTCGAACAATTTCCTGCACAATCACAGCACCCGCTGGGTAGGCCAATCCACCCCGAATCCACCGAACACCCTGTGTGCGGCTCTGGTGCTCTCGGAATTCGCACCCCAGAAGCGCCGCGCATTAATGCGCATTCAACGCTGTAATGTGAATTAAAATGCGCAAAAAAAGGTTACGCATTCCTTGCGTATTTAATGCGCGTCATGCGCACTAAATGTGCATTCAATGCTCAAATGCGCATTAAATGCGCCAGGAATGTGTAACCTTTTTTGCGCACTTTAATGTGCATTGGAAAAGCGGCGCAACGGGGCCACTCCAGTGGGGCAAACGCCGACTCTCCGACAGAGTAATCTACCTTAAATCGTTGTTTTTTTAAATAGAATAAGAGAGATGACGTGTAAACACGGTAAATGCCTGTTCGTAAAAAAATAAAATATCAATCAAACATTAATCGCATTAATCTTTACAGCGGATTATAGAAATTTGATAATATGTATGTGTTCTGTGTTCTAATTTTCTCTCAAATTTAGCCGCTATTTAAGAGACAAGATGCGCGAGTTTAGTCGGGAAAGGAAGAAAAACAAAAAAAGCTTCCAGTTTCCGAACCAGCGATCCCTTGTTGACACGGCGCTGGCGTAACCACTACGCCGTCGGCACTCCACGGAAGAGGATCGGCGAATGCCAACGCCTGCTGCACGTCGGGTAGGCCCGCCCGCCAAGTGTCTGTGTGGGGCTGGTGGCCTACCCCCAGCGCCTGAGCTTTGCCTGGCTCTCGCCGCCCCGCCTACCTCGTGGATGCACGTACCCTGCAACGAGACTACTACGAGCAACACTGTTTTTTGCCAACTTTTTTGTGACTTCGCGGAGGTAAGAAACTGCTGTTGTTATTGGTCTAGTTCGTCTTCGTAAATTATAGTTTTGTTAATATAGTGTCATAGAGACACCTCTGTCTGCTACTCGTAGACGCGGAAGAACGCAAACGTGGTGAGTCTCATTCACAAAGTCACTCACATAACCTCATTTTGAATTTGTTCATTCTTTTCTTTTCTTTTTTTTTGACATTTCTCTAAGGCAAATTTAAATGCATGTCTTAAATATCTTGTTTTACATTTATCAGGCTGATGGTATTTGGTAGCCAAAGATGTTTGATCTAGAGAGAACGAAAACTCGCAAAATAAGAGTGCTCAAAACGACACCATCAAAACCTGATATACAAAGTTCATTGCTTTCATTAAGACCATTATCTCCGCTCTATAATTATACTACTATCATGTCTGTAGCTGTTATGTGCTCTGAGATGAACGTACAAACAGTTAAAGGGTGACACCGCTCTGAGAACAATACTCGCTCTTCCGACCACCAAGAAGGTGAAGTGGGCTGGTAAAGAACGATCAACAAAAGCCTCAAATGGCCTTAAATGAAAAATTGATTATTTCATTAAGTTGGTGCAGTGAATGTAACTAAGGCCATGGGGAATAATTTTAAGCCCTCCTCCTCATTCGGTCACCCTCACAGCTCCAGTTCATGACTCTCCTTGTAATAGAGATACAGAGGTACGAAGGGGAAATAATTATACAGTACTTGATAAGTAATGCGAGTATGTTTTTAAAATAGGAAAGAGTGCCAGTTTGCTCATTTTCTGTCCTGAAAGAATAATTTTTACTATTA